GCTTTCAGTTCCGAGGTGAGCAAAGATTTGCAGGTCGAGCTTCGAGCGCAGTCTTTCTTGGTAAACTCTCAGCGCTGCCCCTCGCCACTTGTCCGCGTCTCCGACAGAATCGGCTCCAAAGGCTCGGCACGCGCAGGCTCCCGCGCTTCACGCGCGCGGCAAGCAGGCAGGGGTCATTCTGAAGATCCCGCGCAGGCTTCGAGCTTGGAAACCATCCGTCCAATCCGTGTCCGCTCTGAGCAGCATGCACGGCTCGAGCCCGCAAAAAAACTTGGAGGAGAAGCACGAACCAGAATTTGCGTTTCTCGCGCTCTGGTCAGGTTGGCGCGGTTCCCGAAAATGCTCGCCTTTTGAAACATGCCTTTTGATTGTCCCAAGCGCCGTGTACGTTCTGCACGCAGTTTCCCGTCTGTGCTGATGAGGCTACCCAAATAAACCGCATCCCACTTGTCCGCGATCAAGTTGCCATCCAGCACAAACAGATGTCTTTACGACAATTTGCTGAGTAATGCGATTATGTCTGAGTTGAGTTCCAAGCTGCACTTCTTTCCAGGTTAGGCCACCAGACCTAGGTGCGCTTGGAACGTGCTTGAGTCCACGGCCACAAGCACGGTGTTGTCTGCGTACATAGCATCTCCAGTAAACACATATGGTTTGGATAGTGTGACGGGCCTTTCCAAATTCTAGCGCGCATCTACAATATCTAACTCAACTGGCATAACAACAATGCGAAAAGTACGGAGGCAGCGGATACCTTCGCGCAAGTCCAACGGATTGCCGCTATGGAAAAAGCCGTACCACGGGTCTTTCACTATAAAATGACGGATGTTGCAGATGCCCCCGACCATCTCGGCCATCGCAGCTGGCATCCCGAACTGCTGCAACACTTGCGCAAGGCCTGCTGCGCTGATCCGATGAGATGCTGCGCTCCAACCCAGAAATAATAACAATAACGTACCGCCTCTGTCTTCCAGCGTTGCGACAAACAGTTCCCGCGCCAAGAACATGTCCTCACTGGTCTCGCGACATTTGACGCAACCATGTTGTAATACACGGAATGTCGTTCCAAATCTGTCGAACTTGATTCGTTGTAGCTACGCATCCCTCCGCTAATAAGAGGGATCGGTCTGCTGCTGGAGCCCAAGAGGCGCCCCCGTCATGGACACGGCCACTACGGGTGCTTCCCGCCACTCTGTGGGAATGCCGTTCCCTCTTTTCCAGCACGCGCCACACCACAAAGCCGCAGCATGCCCAACGCGTCGGCGTGTTCTACAATGGTGTTCTCCGCACGGATGGTGGCGCGCCGTCGGCCCGCGCAGCTCGCTGTGCTCGAAGATGTTTGAGCGTCTGCCTCGGTTCGTTCTGTCAGGTTTTGCCTAAGTCGATGGACAGCTAACCCCGTCTGCTTAAAGGCTGCCGCAGTGACACAGTCCCTTTCTGTGCCTCGTGTGAACCAACATGCGTAACACATATGTTCGCGCAGTTGCTGCACGTCCTTCGATTCGTTCGTTCCGATGCTGTCTACCCCCGGATGTGTTTGTCAGATTTCGGGGCTGCTTGATCGCGTTGTTGATGAATTTAGCATCGGCTCTGCCTTGTCGCAGTGTGTTCTCTTCGATGAAGCCAAGAGTGCGGTCGGATATCCATGGGCGCTTTCTCCTTGCCTCCCAGCGTGGAGGGGATTCGGCCTCATATTGCAGCACACAGCGTGATACTGTTGAGGCTGTCTCGCTCAAAAAGTCATGGTTTGGTTGTGTCACCCATGTGTCCACACATAAGAACCAACAACTACGCGTACGTCTTGTTGGCTTCGGGTTCCCCCATCATGCCGACCTCCAGTTTGAGTTCACGATGCGTGCTGCCTGGCTTGAGGATGTCAAGCTCCTGATCAACAACTTGAATGCTATGATCTGGTTGCAGATGTCGTTGGCGATCGCTCTATGCCACTACAATGGCAGGCATTCACTTCTTAGGCACAACGACGTGGTCTAGCTGCTCAAAATGCGCTGGAACAATACGCCCAGAAGGTTCGATTCCAAGGTTTGATTATCTTGCACAGCTGTGTTCTAGAGCTCGGACCTCTTTATTTTCGTGGTTCGTGGTTCGTCCTCCTCCCCTGGTTCGTCCTCTTCCCCTGGCCTCCCCCCTGGCTTCCTGGCTCCCCGGGGCCTCCCAGGGCAGCTCCCCTGGGTCGCGGAACCCTTTATGTTGGTGGTTCGTGGCTCGTCCTCCTCCACCCGTCCTTCGTTGTCTGACTGCGCAAGAGCCAGGGCACGCGTGCCACTTGTTTCACGAGGGGGAGAGGCGAAGGAACACTTACGAGGGAGAGCATTGACCCGTGAAGCCTCTTCGAATCGCCGCTGCCTCAGATACACGCTTGCAGCTCATCGGGTCCACGGCTGCATCCGCATGTGCTGGCTCGAGAAGGTCTCTGCATCGGCAATGTTGCTGCACCTAGCTGCGTTGAACAATTGTTTGATGAGCACATGGCGCCCCGCGATCGATCCCTTCTTCACCACGTTCGAAGTCGCCATCGGCTCGGCCAAGGTGCACTCCACGTCGCGAAGAACTGCTGATGCCGAAGGCCTCGACGCAGGTAGATCTGACAGGTGCGAGGCTTCGTCCATGGACGCGTCGGCCCGATTCTGAAAGAGCTGGATCTCCGCCTGGCACTTTGTGCTCCCCTCGCTGAGCGAGTCCATCACCTCCTCGTCCCCTTCGTGAGGAACGGCTCCAGAGCCGACCACCGTGGCCATGTCGATGACATCCTTTCCTCCAGCGGCTCGGAGCCAATCCCCCGGCGCAGCGTCAAGCACATCGCATCTGGGTTTGGACGCGTCCGCGTCGGTGCCGAAGTCGGTCTGCCGGTCCTCGCTGTGCTGTTTTCCCAGGCGACCGTCGTCGCAGTTAGCTGCCACCGCAGTGACCACGAGCCCACTGACGGCTAGAACACGAACGTTCCCTGTTCACGGAAAGGGCATGGTTCGCGGGAGCACGTCGGAATGCGCCTGCAGGTGCGCTTTCTCGCCCGCGAGGTCCACCATGCCTGTCGCGCCCTCGACGGAAGGCGGCCGCCACTGCTCGGCGGAAGGGGCCTCTGCGAGAGGCATGTCGTGCTTGTCTTCCCTGCCCTCCGATTCATTTTTGCGCCCTTCCTGTCCGAGGCGCTCTGACCAAAGGACGGCGCCTGCGGCGGGTGCTGTCCGCTCCACTCCCCAGGCTTAGGTTGGGCGTGTCCTCCTACAGGCGGATTTCGGGTGAACGTTAAAGAATAGTCAAAGAATGCTGAAGAGTATTCAAGAGCAGTCGAAAAATCGTCCCCGGACTGTGATTTGCATATTTTTGAATGTCACTCCTGGACAGGGACAGGCCCGACTCAACCCCAGGTGGCACGAGAGATGGGGCAACGGACTTCCGGCGGCCGCTGCCCCCCCCGACATACCGCATGGGGCCCCTCGAGACGAGTTCGTTGGGGGACAATGCGTGGCCTGACCAGACGAGCAAACCTGCTGCTGAGTCTAGGGAACTGGCCTTGGTTTCTGTGAGGTCCGTGTGGGGGCTTCTGACACCGCGGCGCGCCATCGTTCTCGTCCAGCCAGATGCGCGAACTCACACCAGGAGCACCCTCGATACACATGTGCCTAGACGGCCACCCTTCGGGTGAGAAGGCTGTTGGGGGGTCGGGGGGAAAGAACCAACTGCTGGCAAATGAGATGGGTGTGATAATGAGGATGCTGGTGACGCGCCCTCGAGTTAGCGACGACGCGTGATGGCGATGTTGCGCTGCGATGTACGGTCACTATCGTCCCCGCTTTCGATCTCACTCGATCGATCTCAATGTCGACCTCACAGGATCGATCACACTCGATCGATCTCATTCTAGATCTCACGATCGATCTCATTATAGATCTCACTTAGATCTCGCTTTCAATCTCACTATCGAGCTCACTATCGACTCCTCTATCGATCTCACTATCGAAGACTTCACAACCTTTGTCACAATCAACCTCACTGTCGATCCCACTTTTGATCTCACTATCCAACCCGTTCTAGCGATCGCATTGTCGATCTCACGATCGACTCCACTATCGATACCAAGGCGGGACACCCCCGGCCACCGCCCGCCCACCGCCGACGGAACACCGAGGAGACCCCAACGGGACACCAACGGGACAGAACTGGACACCACGGCGGGACACCCCGGGCCACCGCGCGCCCACTGGGGGCGGAGGGACGGTCTACTGCATCCGAATCGCCCTGGCGACGGCGGGGTCAGCCCTCTCGCGCGCCAACGCAGCTTCACCTCGCCCGCAACAACGACACGAACACGAAACCGAAACCGATTTCCCGGGGGGGGGGGCTCTCCGTTCCACTGCGAGCTCACCCCCAACCCCCGCTCCGGAAGCCCGTCAGTACAAGAAAAGAGGCTGCGAATGCTCAGCTGGCGCCTCACCGAGCCGGCCCAGGCCTCAAAAGAAAACTCGAGCCACAACGGCACGACGGAAGGCTGCAACGACGGAGACGGACGACGGACGACGGACGGCGGACGGCGGACGACGGCGGCGCGACGGCGGCGCGGCCGGCCCCCGGTCAGGCCGCCAGAGAAAGGTCCCCAGAGGTGTCCGGAAATATTTGTTCCCCCGCAACGAAATCGCCTGAAGGTTCGATTCGATCGCTCTGCCGCTGTTAAGATCCGCTGCCCCTCAAGAGGGCTATCCTCCCAGACGCACGCGACAGAGCAGCCGACAGCACTGCAGTGAGGAGGGCGAAAACCTGCAGTTGCCCTGGACTCGGGCAATGGGGTGAGGAGGGAGGAGGGGGGAGAAGAACACACCAGCCTGAAGATACGACTTCCCACAGGGGGTCCAGAAAAGTCGTCTCGCCCCAAGAGAACTGTCAAATCTCGAGACATCGATGTTCCGGTGATCTCTTTTGACTCAGAAATACGTCGAGATCTCCTCGGCCATCTAGCCTGCCGTCACTCCAGAACTCCTCTGCTAGCTTCTCGCTGCGCTTCCACTGGCTGTAGCACTCCGGCGAGCCTCAAGGCCTCAGAGACCCTCTGGAAGGCCACCCAGAAGTTCCTGGAAGTCTCTCCTCCCTCCCTCCCTCCCTGCCTCCTCCCTCCTTCTCCCTCCCTCCCTCCCTCCCTCCCTCCCTCCCTCCTCCCTTCTCCCTCCTCCTCCAGATCGAGATGACGACGACGACGACGACGACGACGACGACGACCACGACGACGACAACGACGACGATGACGACCACGACGACGACGACGACGACGACGACGACGACGACGACGACGACGACGACGACGACGACGACCCGCTCCCCTGGGCCGACTTCGCATCCCGAGCCGCTTCTTGAGACGGGCCCGGGGCCCACGGCGACCGCCCGGGAGTCCGGCCAACGGCCCGAAACCGCCCGCGCCGTGATTTTTTGTTCGCGCCGCGAGGGGCGCCTGGGTCTGGGAAGCCCTCTTCCCAGACATGATCGCGTCGTCAAAAAATCAGGACGGGAAATTTTTGGCCAACTTCAGCCTCGGGGGGCCCTCGCAGGGCCTCGGGACCGTCTGAAAACGACTGAGGATAAAAACCAGCCCCTGGGAAAGGGTCTGGACTTCCAGGGACGCCGTCCTGGAAAGATTATCAGGACGTCGCACGTCTGGGTTGAAGCCCTGCGAAGGCCGCGTGGAGCCCCGTGGAGCCTCGCACAGCTGGGCCCTCCCCCGGACTTCGGATGCGCTGTGCTCTGGGGGGCGATGGCAGAAGTAGGGCAGGAATCCCCGCCCTACCTTTGGACGCTTTCCGCCCCGCTCTGCCGTCGCCGCCTGCGCCATGCCCGAATCTCCGCTCTTCTTCCCCCTGGGGCAGACGCTCCAGCCCCACATCTCCGCATCCTCCGGGGTGCATCTTCGATGCAGCCCCCAAAGTCGGAGATGCTCGGCCATCCGACTTCGCGCGCCGCGCTCCACGCGGCGCGGCCCGGGACCACCGCCGCACCCCCGCGCCGCCGCGCTGCACGCGGGCGCCTCTCCAACCCGAGCCGCGGCGCGCGCAGCGCGAATCCCCGCCCTCGCGCCCCTTTGGGGGGGCGACCTGCGGCCGGGAACCTCTGCACGGCGTGCCGCGGCGGCGGCCCCGGCGACACGCTGCGCCCTGCCAGGAGGAGGATGCCGCGCGGCGCGGCCCCCGCGGGGCGAGAGGCCCAGCACGAGCTCGGCGCCTGGACCGCGGGGGGGCCGGGAAGCGGGTGCTGAAGGAGCCCAGGGACAAACGGAGAAATACACAGGAATCCAAGGGTTCCCCTGGCTTTCCCATGCTTTCTGGGCTTTCGTCTTCCCCCCCACTTCCCATAGTTTCCCATATCTTCCTGGGAGTCGACGACTCGTTGTGTCTGTGTGTGATTCTTCCCCTCCTGAGATACAGCGTTACGGCCGGACCGAGGACAGAAGAGCATCCTTCAAGAGCACGCGAACCTCCGCCGGCCAAGACATCCCAACCCAACAGAGAGTTACGCCTAAATGTGAAATAATATACGTAGTGTGTTTACGTAGTGTGCTTACGTAGTGTAGTTACGTAGTGCAGTTACGTAGTGCCCATGTCAAGTTGATCTATTTCACGGTTAAGCATAACCTTCAACCCAGTGAAACCACTCGAGGGTACACTCCCGCACGATGCACAGGAATATCCAACAAACACGAACCCAGAGATCCGATGCCGTGATTTTTCGATACGGGGTCCCCAGAAGGGTCGACTCATTCCCCAGGACTGGTTCTTCATCCTGAGCCGTTTTTTAATGGTCCCCAGTGAGGGCCCCCAGAGGCCCAAAACTGCGAAATACGTCCGTCTTGACTTTTTCCCATGCGCTTCATCTCTGGGACGATCACGAGGGCACCCTCCCAGAACCGAACTCGATCTTGAACCTCGGCCCGACCATCTAGCTCCCGCCGTCCCTGCAGCAAAGGCCTCAGAGATGGGGTCGGAGGAGATGGGGTCGGAGGATCGCGCCGCATCGAATGCATTGACGATGCGTCGGCGATGCATCGGCGATGCACTGGCGATGCAACGTCGACATCGGCGGTATATCTGCAACGTCGACGTGGAGCAAGTCGGGCTCCACATCGCCGATGCATCGGCGATGCGGCGCGATCCTCCGACCCCATCTACCCAGAGATCCGATGCAGTGATCTTGTCAATACGGGGTCCCCAGAAGCCTCGACCCATTCCCCAGGACTGGTGTCTCATCCTGAGTCGTTTTTTGACGGTCCCTAGGCCCGGCGAGGGCCCCCACAGGGGCGACAAACCTCCGTCTTGATTTCTTCAGTGCGTTGGATCTCTGGGTGCGTGCAGACACCGCGACCACGGCGTGGGTGCCCCTCCTCGGCCTCCGCGCCCCGCGCGGCAGCGCGAGCCGGGCCGGGGCTGCCCGCGAGGCCAGCGAGACGCTGCCTCGCCCTGCGCGCGGCGACGTCGTCGCGCGGGCCGCCGCGGCGCGCCTGGCTGGACGACGGCGGCCACGCGCCTCCTCCTCCTCCTCCTCCTCCTCCTCCTCCTCCTCCTCCTCCTCCTCCTCCTCCTCCCTGCTCCTCCTCCTCCTCCTCCTCCTCCTCCTCCTCCTCCTCCTCCTCCTCCTCCTCCTCCTCCTCCTCCTCCTCCCTCGACCCCGGACACGATCGCGCCATCACAACAGAATCGGGACGGCAGGTCTTGCGTTCCATTTCGGGCCCCTCGGGGGGCCCTCGCCAGGCCCCCGGGCCGGCAGAGCACGACTCACAGGAGGAAGAAGACCGGCCCCGGGGAGAGGCTCGGGACTTCAATGGGGCGCCATGATGAACACATCAGGACGTCGCATGTCTGGGATCCGACGTCTTGGCGACGCCAGGCCCTGAGGCCCCGGCATCGCACGTGTTTGCGCCGGGCGACCTCGCCACGCGGGCCCGGGGCCCTCACGGATGGAGCCTGTTCTGAGGAAGCGGCAGACGGATGGCGTCTGTAGGGCTCCGGTCGTGATTTTTGTTCGCCATGCTGTGATGTTGTCAAGATTCGCAATGTTCGATCTCTGGGGGCTCTCGCCGGGCCCAGGGGCCATGAGAAAACGGCTCAGCATGAAAAGCTGGCCCTGGGGGAGAGGTCCAGACTTCCCGGGACCCTGTGCTGAAAATCCATCCGCACCTCCCGGGCACACGTACTGAAAACATCAAGGCATCGGACCTCTCGACACGAGCGCGGCAGCGTACTCCAAGCTGGCATGGTATTGCACGGTGGCGGACGATCTCGGCGGCGCCGTGACAAGAAACACTGCCTGGGCCCCGTCGGGCCCACGGATCCGCGAGGGACTCTGGGGCCCGAGGCGGCGCAAGTGGTTCGAGTCGGGATTCCCCGAGACGCCCAGACCTGGGCTCAGGTCGGGCATGTCCTCCCACAGGCGGATTTTGGACGAGAAAGGAAAATAGTCCAAACAGATTCAAAGATGGTGAAAAAATAATCGAAAAATCGTCCCCTGACTAATCCCACCAGCCCTTTGGGCGTGAGTGGTTTAGCGAGCTCTCTCTGTTCTCAACCCCCTATCTTCCCCTTCGGGGAGGGGTTTACCCCTCCCCCTCCCCCCTCCCCCTGGACCTGGACAGGGATTCCCGAGTGGTGGCGGCGGGGTCCATTTCGACTCCTCGGAGGGCCAAAAAACGACGACCCTCACGAGGATTCTGGCCCCGGGGGGGGGGGAGTTTGGTCCCTCTGCTCGTCTTTGAAGCAGAAATCATTGATTTTACGAGGGTTTGGGGCCCATTTTGGCCTTCTGAGGGGGCCGCGCTCATCTTCCCTCATAGCAAAATCATTGATTTTACGAAGGTTTTGGGCTCATTTTGTCCTTCTCAGGGGGCAGCTCTCCTTTGCGCTTCTGCGGAGGTCGCAAGAGGCCCCAAGATGGCCCCAAGAGGCCCCCAGGAGGCTCCCAAGAGGCCTCCAAGAGGCCCCCCAGAGGCCCCCAAGCGGCCCCAAGAGGCCCCCAAGAGGCCCCCAAGAGGCCCCCAAGAGGCCCCACGAGGCCCCAAGAGGCCCCCAAGAGGCCCCCAAGAGGCCCCCAAGAGGCCCCACGAGGCCCCAAGAGGCCCCCAAGAGGCCCCCAAGAGGCCCCCAAGAGGCCCCACGAGGCTCCAAGAGGCCCCCAAGAGGCCCCACGAGGAGCCCGAACGACTCACATCAGGACGAGGGGCCCGAACGACTCACACCACGAAGAGCCCGAACGACTCACACCACAAGGAGGGGCCCGAACGACTCACACCAGGACGAGGCGCCCGAACGACTCACACCACGAGGAGCCCGAAGGACTCACACCACGACGCGGGCCCCGAACGACTCACACCACGAGGAGCCCGAACGAGTCACACCAGGTCACACCAGTGAGGAGGCCCGAACGACTCACACCAGGATGAGGGGCCCGAACAACCACACCACGAGAAGCCCGAACGACTCACACCAGGACGAAGAGCCCGAACGACTCACACCACGAAGAGCCCGAACGACTCACACCAGGAAGAAGGGCCCGAACGACTCACACCAGGACGAGAAACCCCAAACGACTCAAATCACGAGGAGCGCTTTCTCTCCCTCCTCCTCCGCCTCGTCCTTCTCCCGCTCCCCTCACAAGGAGGATGTACAAGGAGGCGGGAGGAAGGAGGAACAGGGGAGATATGCGGGGCCAAGCGGACACACGCCTGAAAAACACGACTGTCGGCATGCTTCGCGAGAGTTGCTGCTGTGAGGAGATGGGCTGGTGGGGATACGCGAAGCGTAAAGAATTTTTGACTACTTCTGAATTTTCCCCCTGTAGAGGGACACGCCCGACTTTAACCTGGGGGGGGGAGCACTTCGCTGCGCACGCCTTCTGTGCACCCGCCTCGTCGGAGGGGGGCTGCTGGCTCGGCGACACCGTCTTCGCCTCCAGGACCGCACCGATGGCGATGCTGTAGGCGATGCGGTCTGGCTGGATGTGCGTCGTCAGGGCGTCGTCGAGCAGCGCCAGGGCGCGCTTCCACTCCTGGGACTTGGCGCACGCCGCGATGACGGCGTTGTACGGGATCATCTCCACGTCGACGCGCCCACCCTCCACGGCCGTGGCCGCCCGTGCTGAGGGAGCCCTGGTCTGGGCCGCGCCGAGAGGGTGCCACCCAGCCCTGCCCGCGAGCAGCGCGAGGGCGGCCTCCCACTGAGACGCCTTCTCGCAGGCGCTCAGGGCAGCGTTGAGCGAGGTCGGAGTCGGGTCCGGCCCATGCCTCCTCATGCTCTCCAGCAGCGCGAGGGCGCGCTTCCACTGGGCGCCCTTCTCGCAGGCCGACAGCAGGGCGTTGCACGACACCGCGTCGGGGGACCAAGCCTGCCTGCCCCGGGAACCCGCGAGGGCAAACAGCGCGAGGGCCTGCTGCCACTCCCCGGCCGTCTCGCAGGCGGAGATCGCGGCGTTGAAGACGGTCACGTCCAAGACCCTGGGATCCACAGGGAGCTCGAACAGCAGCTGCAGCGCTCGCCGCCAGGCCGATTCGGTCCCACAGGCTCCCACAACCGAGCAGATCATGTTCGCGGTTGCGGGGGGGATTTGACTGTTGCCCCCATCGCAGGGCCGCAGTGTCGCCTGGAGCAGCAGCAGCGCCTGCTGCCAGGCCCCGCCCGCCGCACACGCCCGGGCAGCGATCCGGCAGATGCCGTCGAGGGGCGTCACCTGCCGCTCGACCGCATCCCACAGCAGGTCAAGCCCCCTCTGCCACTCGGCGCCCTTCTCGCAGCAGTCTATGGCGGAGCCGTAGGTGACCTCGGCAGGCTCGAACGCGAGGCGGTCCATCTGCGCCAGGAGCGCCACGGCACGGACCCAGGGCCTGCGCGCACGCCATGGCAACACCAGCGCGCCCCCAGCCTCGGCGGCGCCGATCGCTGCGTTGTAGGTGGTGACGCTGCGATGTGGGGTCGCAGAAAACATGGCGAGGGCCTGCCGCCACTCACCGGCCGCCTTGCAGGCGAATATGGCTGAGTTGGTGACCTTCAGACGGCCTCGGGGGTCCCTGGGGAAGAGTCCGCTGTGCCGCAGGCTCGAAGCGAGCTCGAAGGCCTGCTGCCACTCGGCGGCATCGTTGCAGGCGCCCGCGACGGAGACCTCGAGGATGGCCTCTGGCTCCAGACCCGCGCGCGCGTGCGCAGCCAGCAGCAGCAGGGCGGCCTCTCACTGGCGGCGAACATAGCCACGCGCTCGCGGTCTGGGCACCGACGCGCGATCCCATGAATGCAAAATCCCACGGATGCGTTCCGCGTGGCGCACCCCCGCGCAACGCCGCCCCGCATCCATGGGATCGCGGCCTCGGATCCCGGGGCCGCGAGGCCAGGGATGTGGGCCTGCCTCCCGCCCGCGAGGCCTCCCAGGCCCCGCACCCCTCCACGGAGGAGATGGCGGAGCGGAACGTGAACTCGTCCGGCGCACACCGGTCGCGCTCCATCCCCCCGAAGAGGGCAAGCGCATGCTCCCAGACGTCGCCCGCGAGGCTGCAGGCCCGCAGCGCGGCGTTGTACATCGCAAGGTTCGGCTGCACGTGCCAGCGCCTGGCCTCGACCAACAGGGCCACTGCCCGCTGCCACTCGCGGCCGAGGGCGCAAGCGTTGATGGCGGTGCCGAAGAGCTGCGCCTGCGCGCAGAAGGCTCGTGCGCACCACCGCCATCACCATGCCTGGCCAGGAACATACGGAGCCCCAGCAGGGTGCGTACGCCCTCACGGCCTCGGCCTTGAGGACCAGGCAGTGGCGGTGGTGTATGGGACCCTTCTGCGGAGCCTGGTCGGCGTCGTGCCGTTTCTCCCTCCTCTCCCACACGGCGCCGGAGCGATCACCCTGCACCTCCCACAGCAGCGAGAGGGCTGGGCGCCACTCGCGGTCACAGCTGCCGATGGCGGAGATGCCGCTGATGGAGTCCGTCGCGACGGAGCACTCGCGCATCAGGCGCAGCTGCTGCAGCGCTGGCCGCCAGTTGCCCCTGCAGGCGCCGATGGCCGAGTTGAAGGTCAGCTGACTCAGCTGAATGGCGTCCTCGCGAGCCCCGACCTCGGCGGGGGCGGACAGCTCATGGCTGGTGCTGGTTGAACACACTCCTCCTCCTACTCCTCCTCCTCCTCCTCCTCCTTCTCCTCCTCCTCCTCCTCCTCCTCCTTCTCCTCCTTCTCCTTATCCTCCTCCTCCTCCTCCTCCTCCTCCTCCTCCTCCTCCTCCTCCTCCTCCTTCCTCCTCCCTCCTCCTCCTCCTCCTCCTCCTCCTCCTCCTCTCCTCCTCCTCCTCCCTCCTCCTCCTCCCTCCTCCTCCTCCTCTTCCTTCTCCTCCTCCTCCTCCTCCTCCTCCTCCCCTCCTCCTCCTCCTCCTCCTCTCTCCTCCTTCTCCTCCTCCTCCTTTAGTCCTTCTTATCCTCCTCCTCCTCCTCCTCCTCCTCTCCTCCTCCTCCTCCATTCTCCTCCTTCTCATCCTCCTCCTCCTCCTCATCCCTCCTCTCTCCTCCTCCTCCTCCTCCTTCTCTCCTCCTCCTCAGTCCTTCCTCCTCCTCCTCCTCCTCCTCCTCCTCCTCCTCCTCCTCCTCCTCCTCCTCCTCCTCCTCCTCCTCCTCCTCCTCCTCCTCCTCCTCGTTGCCCCCCTCTGGGGCAGGATTGGAAAGCCATGGCGGCACGCCCCACGGGGTGGAGCGAGGGGGTAACGCCCCCCAAAAAGGCCAGAGGGGGGGCTTCTCAGGGTGCTAGGAAGCCTGCGAGAAGCGTTCTTCCCACCCCCGACGTCATGCAATGTGTCATGAGGTCGACCCCCATCGGCCTTAACCCGTTCCCCGGGACCAGCTTTTCATCCTGAGCCGTTTCTTTACAATCATGGGTCCGGGCAAGGGCCCCGAGGCCCAAGACGACCACAAGCCTCCCGTCCTGCTTCTCGGGCGCGAGCAAGCCTCTTTGGGTGGGAGCCCTCTGGCTTCTTAGAGGGCCACCGCTCTCGCCCCAGCCCCTCCTGCGCGCCACCACGGAGGGCGGGGCACCCGAGAGTGGGCAGGAGGAGGAGGAGGAGGAGGAGGAGGAGGAGGAGGAGGAGGAGGAGGAGGAGGATCAGGATCAGGATCAGGAGGAGGAGGAGGAGGAGGAGGAGGAGGAGGGAGAAGGAGGAGGGGGAGGGGGAGTAGAAGGAGGGGGGGAGGAGGAGGAGAAGGAGGGGGAGGAGGAGGGGAGGAGGAAAGGAAGAGGAGGAGGAGGAGGAGGAGGAGGAGGAGGAGGAGGAAGGAGGAGGCGGAGGGGAGTGGGGGGGCAGTGGCGCGGGGCGCGGAGAGGGAAGCACTGCGGCAGGGCGACGGGGCACCGAGAACCCCGGGGCTGCGTCGACCTGAAGAGGCAATGCTGCAGTCGGACTCCTCCTCCTCCTCCTCCTCCTCCTCTTCCTCCTCTTCCTCCTCCTCCTCCGATATAGAACCCGGGGGGGTAGCCTACCCTATGCCCTACCCGAGGCCCTAGGGTAGCCTAGGGTAGGTCCTACCCAAGGCCCTAGGGTAGCGTAGGGTAGGCCCTACCCAAGGCCCTAGTGTAGCCTAGGGTAGGCCCTGCCCAAGGCCTAGGGGTAGGCCGAGGAGGTAGGCCTAGGGGTAAGCCCAAGGGGTAGGCCGAGGGTAGGCCGAGGGTAGGCCGAGGGGGTAGGCCTAGGGGAAGGCATAAGGGTAGGCCTAGGGTTGGCCTAGGGGGTAGGCCTTGGGGTAGGGCCTAGGGAAAGCCTAGGGGGTAGGCCCAGGGATAGGCCTCGCATAGGCCTGTGTGCAAGGCTTGGGGGTAGGCCTGGGGGGTAGGCCTAGGTGGTAGGCCTAGGGTAGGCCCAGGGTACGCCTACCCTCCGGGTCTTATCAGCTTCCTCCTCCTCCTTCTCCTCCTCCTCCTCCTCCTCCTCCTCTTCCTCCTCTTCCTCCTCCTCCTCCGATATAGAACCCGGGGGGGTAGCCTACCCTATGCCCTACCCGAGGCCCTAGGGTAGCCTAGGGTAGGTCCTACCCAAGGCCCTAGGGTAGCCTAGGTCAGGCCCTACCCAAGGTCCTAGTGTAGCCTAGGGTAGGCCCTACCCAAGGCCTAGGGGTAGGCCGAGGAGGTAGGCCTAGGGGTAAGCCCCAGGGGTAGGCCGAGGGTAGGCCGAGGGGGTAGGCCTAGGGGAAGGCATAAGGGTAGGCCTAGGGTTGGCCTAGGGGGTAGGCCTTGGGGTAGGCCTAGGGAAGGCCTAGGGGGTAGGCCTAGGGATAAACCTCGCATAGGCCTGGGTGCAAGGCTTGGGGGTAGGCCTGGGGGTTAGGCCTAGGGGGTAGGCCTAGGGGTAAGCATAGGGTAGGCCTAGGGGGGTCGACTCAGGGTAGTCCTAAGAAATGCCAACCCCAAAGGCGTCATAGCCTGGGTATGATCAGCAACTCCCAGGAGCCCTCCTCACGCACATAGAAACATTGGCAGTGGGGATCGATTCACTCCTCCGCTTCACGAGGGGAGGGGAGAGTGGCAAGGAGGACTGAGGATGAGGAGGAAGACAAGGACAGAGGTAGAGTGAGGAGTGAACATAGAGGAGGAGTGAAATGAGACGTGAGAAGAAGAAGGGCGAAGGAGGAGCGAGGAGGATAAGCGAGGAGCAGGAGAGAGAAGGGAGAGGGTGAGATCGAGGAAACATGAGAATGAGAAGTAAGGATGGCGAGGAAGAGGTAGAGTGAGGAGTGAGTAGGGAGGAGTAGTGAAAAGAGTAAGTCTGGAGAAACAGTGCGGAGGAGGAGAGAAGAGGATAAACAGGGGAGAGAAGGGAGAAGGGTGAGGACGAGGAGGAAAGAGGATAAGAAGTGAGGATGACGAGGAGGAGGAATGCATAGAAAGGGGCCGGATCGGGTCGGACCCTAACGGGCGGGTCGGGTCGGGTCGGCGGGACACTAAAGTATGACGCATGTGCGAGTGGACACGCGATAACCCGCACGGGTCGGGTCGGGACGGGACGGGTCCGGGTCGGGCGGACCCTAACGGGCGGGTCGGGTCGGGTCGGACCTTCACGGGCGGGTTGGGCGGGCGGGACATTTAAGTATGATGCATGCGCGAGTGGACACGCGAGAACCCTTACAGGTCAGGTCGGGACGGGACGGGTCGGGCAGACCCTAGCGGGCGGCTCGGGTCGGGACGGGTCGGACCCTAACATTCGGGCCGGGTAATATGATGCATGTGCGAGTGGACACGCGATAACCCGCACGGGTCGGGTCGGGACGGGACGGGTCTGGTCGGGCAGACCCTAACGGGCGGGTCGGGTTTGGTCGGGTGGGACCCTGCCTGGCGGGTCGGGGCGGGCGGGCGGGACATTAAAGTATGATGCATTCGCGAGTGGACACGCGAGAACTCTAACTGGTCGGGACGGGACGGGACGGGCCAGGTCGGGCGGACCCTAACGGACTGGTCGGGTCGGGTCGGGCGGACCCTAACGGGCGGGTCGGGTCGGGGCGGATCGGACCCTGACAGGCGGGTCGGGTCGGGCGGGCGGGACATTAAAATATGATGCATGTGCGAGCGGACACGCGAGAGCCCTCACTTGTCGGATCGGGACGGGACGGGTCGGGTCGGACGGACCCTAACGGGCGGGTCGGGTCGTGTCGTGTCGGACCCTAACGGGCGGGTCGGGGCAGACTGGCGGGACATTCAAAAGTGATGCATGTGCGAGTGGACACGCGAGAACCCTAACGGGTCGGGTCGGGACGGGACGGGACCGGTCGAGCGGACCCTAACGGGCGGCTCGGGTCGGGTCGGGCGGACCCTGACGGGCGGGTCGGGTCGGGTCGGCGGAGCATCAAAGTATGATGCATGTGCGAGTGGACACGCGATAACCCGCACGGGTCGGGTCGGGACGGGACGGGTCTGGTCGGGCAGACCCTAACGGGCGGGTCGGGTTTGGTCGGGTGGGACCCTGCCTGGCGGGTCGGGGCGGGCGGGCGGGACATTAAAGTATGATGCATTCGCGAGTGGACACGCGAGAACTCTAACTGGTCGGGACGGGACGGGACGGGCCAGGTCGGGCGGACCCTAACGGACTGGTCGGGTCGGGTCGGGCGGACCCTAACGGGCGGGTCGGGTCGGGACGGATCGGACCCTAACGGGCGGGTCCGGTCGGGCGGGCGGGACATTAAAATATTATGCATCAACGAGTGGACACGCGAGAACCCTAACTGATCGGGCTGGGACGGGACGGGTCGGGTCGGGCGGACCCTAACGGGCGGGTCGGGTCGTGTCAGGTCGGACCCGAACGGGCGGGTCGGGTCGGGTCGGGCGGGACATAAACAAAATGATGCATGTGCGAATGGACACGCGAGAACCCCAACGGGTCGGGTCGGCGGGACGGGTCGGGTCGGGTGGACCCCAACGGGCGGGTCGGGCCGGACCCTAACAGCTGGGTCGGGGCGGGTCGGCGGGACATTAAAGTATGATGCATGTGCGAGTGGACACGCGAGAATCCTTACAGCGGGTCGGGTTTGGACGGGACGGGTCGGGTCGATCATACCCGAACGGGCGGGTCGGGTCGTGTCGGGTCGGACCCTCACGGGCGGGTCAGGTCGGGCCGGCGGTACATTAGAATATGATGCATCAACGAGTGGACACGCGAGAACCCTAACGGATCGGGTTGGGACGGGACGGGTCGGGCTGGGCGGACCCTAACGGGCGGGTCGGGTCGGGTCGGGCGGACCCTAACGGGCGGATCGGGTCGGGTCGGGTCGGGTCGGACCCTAACGGGCGGGTCGAGTCGGGCGAGCGGGACATTAAAGTATGATGCATTCGCGAATGGACACGCGAGAACTCTAACGGGTCGGGTCGAGACCGGACGGGTCGGGTCGGGCGGACCCTAACGGCTGGGTCCGGTCGGGTCGGGCGGACCCTAACGGGCGGGCCGGGTCGGGTCGGGGGAGGACCCTAACGGGTGGGTCGGGTCGGGCGGGCGGCTTAGGGGGTAAGCCTAGGGTGTGCCTAAGGGAACGGCCTAGGAGTAGACCTAGGTTAGCCTAGAGGGAAGGCCTAGGGGTAGGCCTAGGGTAGCCCTAGGCGTAGGCCTAGGGTACGCCTAAGGGGGAAGGCCTAGGCGAAGGCCTAGGGTAGGCCTAGGGGGAAGGCCTAGGGGTAGGCCTAGGGTAGGCCTACGGTGGGGGTAGGCCTAGGGGTAGGCCCAGGGGCAGGCCTAGGGAGTAGGCCTAGGGGTAGGCCTAGGGTAGGCCTAGGGGAAGGCCTCGGGGTAGGCCTCGGGGTAGGCCTGGGGTAGGCCTAGGGGTATGCCCAGGGTAGGCTAGGCCTAGGGGGTAGTCCTGGGGGTAGGCCTAGGGTAGGCCTACCCTCCGGGTCCTATACGCCTCCTCCTCCTCCTCCTCCTCCTCCTCCTCCTCCCTCCCTCCTCCTCCTCCCCTCCTCCTCCTCCTCCTCCTCTCCTCCTCCTCCTCCTCCCCTCCTCCTCCTCCTCCTCCTCCTCCTCCTCCTCCTCCTCCTCCTCCTCCTCGGAGAGGGCACGCTACAGGGCACAAGACCCTTCCGAGGGCCACATTGCCATAGGAATATACAGGGGGCACGGGTCGCAAGGCAAGAGGCCCCCAGGAAGCCCCGAGAGGCCCCCGAGGGGCTCCCAAGAGGCCCCCAAAATGTCCCCCAGAGGCCACCAAGAGCGCTTCGAAGAGACCCCGAGAAACAGACATGAGGACTCTGACCCACGTCAGCGTCGTCGCCGTCGCCGCCGCCGTTGTCGTCGTTCCCCTTCAGGGTCGGCAGCACTGGCCATAAGGCCTTCTCAATATAGGGGGCACGGGTCGCGAGACACAGGACACGTGGGTACCCTTGACGTGGCAGGTCGACCTCTTAATCAGGGCCGACTATACTGCTGGCCCCCAGCAACACCTCATGCGGCACGCAAAACAAATACCCGAGACGTACCCAACCCCGACTCAAGGCGAGTCGACGTGTTTAAGGAACGATCCATGCAAGAGAGCACGTTGCAAGGACACTCTGCTCCGCTGGACCTGCCAGGAGCCCACGACAATGGCAACAATTGCGCACTGTGTAACCCCCCAGAGCCGCGAGGTCTCGGCTGGATCCGCGCACTTCGCTACTCCGCCGTGCCCCCCAGGAGCCTGCGAAAGCGGCGACAATGGCGCAGATCGCAGCCAGTCAGCGAACTGCGCGGTCTGGGCTGGATCCGCGCACTCTGCTACTCCGCCGTGCCCCCAAGACCCCACGAAAGTGGCGACACACTGTTCGCAGTCCCCGAAGCAGCTGCGAGGTCTAGGCTGGATCTGCGTACTCCGCTACTCCGACGTGCCCCCCCAGGAGCCCAGCGAGGCAGCCGCGAGGTCTCGGCTGGATCCGCGTGCTTCGGCTGGATCCGCGTGCTCTGCTACTGCGCTGTGCTGCTCCAGGAGCCCACGAAAATGGCGACACACAGTTCGCAGCCATCAGGGAGACGCGAGGTCTCGGCTGGATCCACGTACTCCGCTACTCCGCCGAGCCCCCCAGGAGCCCACGAAAGTCGCGACACACGGTTTGCAATCCCCGCGGGAACTGCGAGGTCCGCGTACTCCGCTACTCCGCCGTGCCCCCCAGGAGCCCACGAAAGTCGCGACACACAATTCGCAGCCATCCAGGGAGCCGCGAGGTCTCGGCTGGATCCGCGTGCTTCGCTACTCCGCGGTGCCCCCCAGGAGCCCACGAAAGTCGCGACACACGGTTCGCAGTCCCCGAAGCAACTGCGAGGTCTCGGCTGGATCCGCGTGCTTCGCTACTCCGCCGTGCACCCCAGGAGCCCACGAAAGTCGCGACACACGGTTCGCAGTCCCCGAAGCAGCTGCGAGGTCTCGGCTGGATCCGCGTGCTCCGCTACTCCGCCGTGCACCCCAGGAGCCCACGAAAGTCGCGACACACGGTTCGCAGTCCCCGAAGCAGCTGCGAGGTCTCGGCTGGATCCGCGTGCTCCGCTCCTCCGCCGTGCACCCCAGGAGCCCACGAAAGCGGCGACAATTGCGCAATTCGCAGCCACCCGGGGAGCAGCGCAGGAGGAGGCAGGAGGAGAGGGGTGGAACAGGAGGCGCGACCGCAGTGCTCTGGTCAAAAAGAGAACCTCACACGGGAGGGCTGGGAAAAACCGAAGCCTCTTTCGCCCTCCCCATCCAGCGCCCTCGAGGGTTGCATCGCCTTTGCGGCCGGTGGTAAGGCCAGGGGCCAGGGGCCAGGGGCTGGCGCAGTCCAGTCCAGGGGTGGCCTGGGGGGCAATCGGGCGGGCACGGGGAGGGGCAGGAAGCTAGGAGAGGCCGTCGCTCCCCGTCCTGCGCAGGGATGGGAGAAGCGGGGGCAGGAGGACGAGGAGGAGCTGGAGCAAACGTGGCCTGAGGCACCCCTACAGGCCGGCACGAGAGCTTTGCCAGAGGAAGGGCCCCGACACGATCGAGCGATGGACCGAAGCAGAAGAGGCACGACCGAAAAACGACCGCCAAGCCATGATCCTAGGGGGCCGAGGAGAGGCGAGTGAAGGGCCTTAGAACGCCATGAGAGGCAAATCAAGCGGGAGGCACCCAGCATGACGCCGAGCGCTGCCTTCCGTGAGGTGGAGCAGGAAAAATAGGAGGAGCAATGAGCAATGAGCAATGAGCATTCCGCGGGGGGCTCAAATGAGGTGCTCTACTCACGCCGAAACTGGCCACAAACTCTGTGCAACCAGTCTTCTGGGGTTGCGGGTTAACCGTAAGAAGAAGACGGGGACACCCCTGCTGGCTGAACCATCGCCGCCCCCGAGCGCCGACGCACCCCTAATATTCCGCGCAGGCGTGTGAAGGGAACCGCTTAAGGGACTGACTCGTGGCTGGCACTGCGGCCTTCCGTTGGAGGAGGGGTGAAGGAGGGGATCCTGAACTGAGCTGCCCCCGAGCTTCCCATCCACCCGGGAACCAGCACTTCGATCACGCGCCACCAGGCGCTGCTGCGGTCGTACCTGAAAGGGCGGCATTTCTGATATGCTCCCGCCCGCATCCGAAGTAGAGCAAGGCAGAGGATAGCGAGGTCGTCGCTAGCGACGACCAGGACGAACACGACGACGACGACGACGACGACAATGACAAGGACAAAGACGACACAGACGTTAAAGACGACAAAGACGACAACGACGAGGACGGCGGCGGCAGCGGTAGCGGCACTGGCGACGGCGGCAGCGATGGAGGCAACGGCAACGGCGGCGACGACGACAACGAAGGTGTAAGGAACACATAAGGCTGAACATAAGATTACGCAGAAAGATAGCAATGCGGAGTTCGCCGGTCCAACGGGCCAAAGGCGTGCTAGAATCTCCAGTAAGAGGCCTTGCAACACGTATTATGGAGTATTTTGATTCATCTTATCATTATATTAATCCTTCTTATTTCTGTTTCATCATTATGGGTATTACTCGTTGTCTTCACTTTATCGTTATCAAGATCACAATATTATTATTAATCACCTGTACGACCACCCTGCGGGTGATAAGGAGGTTGGGGGGGCAGCAACGGGCAAAAGTGGTAATTGTTGTTCTGACGATGCCTGTGGGGCGGAGTCTAGTGAGTAGTGTGACTGCGCACGTGAGCGCGATGTGATGTGGCGATGTTGGCGAGGCGCACTCGACATTGTCGTGAAGCGCTGTCCCCGCGTGCGCTTATCAATCGCGCGAACCTCACCTCAGCGCTAGTCGACGTGGTCGAACGTGCGCGCTGCGGTGCCACAGTGACTGCTCGCGGCGCCACCCGATGCTGCCTTGGTTGCAGGTCCGGCGCTCGAGGCACAAGCAAAGCTTGGTGCCAGCGGCGCCTGCGTGTGGGTGGCAGCATCTCTTGACGGCGGGACACCGGCGACGGCGGGACACCGGCGGGAAACCCGCGGCGTCCCAGCATCATTTGGTCCGGCCGCGGCCAAGCCACAGGAGGATACCTGGACACCAGCGGGACACCGGCGGGACACCGCGCACCACCGGCCGCCAGAGGAGAATCATTTGGTCCGGCCGCGGCCCAGCCACAGGAGGATTTCGGGACACCAGCGGGACACCGGCGGGACACCGCGGGCCACCGGCCGCCGGAGGAGAAACATTTGGTCCGGACGCGGCCCAGCCACAGGAGGATTTCGGGACACCAGCGAGACACCGTTGGGACACCGAGGAGAAACATTTGGTCCGGCCGCGGCTCAGCCACAGGAGGATTTCCTCTCGCCCGCCCACGCAGCTTCGCCTCGCCCGCACGCACACACGGCACGCACGACACGAACCCGAAACCGAAATCGATTTCCCAATAGGGGGGGTCTCCGTTTCACGTCGGACTCGCCCCCCAACCTCCGATTATAAGAATTCGTCACATTCTTATTCTTCTTGATGTAAATATGCTTCGTCGCCCGATGATTACTCGCAGTATTACGTTTAAGATGCATACGCTTCGCAGTAGTATTGCAAATAGTTCGAGTAGTATTAAGAGCGTTCCCGTGTTCATCATTATGGTTGACATAAATATTACGATCCGTCGTATTCCTATCACTTTGATCCGTATGACTATTCTGACTCGTCTTCTCCTTTTGCTTAGCATACCTATTATTACGATTGTCATTATTATTGTTATGATTGTCATTCAGATTCGCGCGCGCGGGGCGGCCCCTGCGGGTCCCTCGATTGAGTGTACCCTGCGCAGGTACCACAACGGATGCCAGAACTCTGGGGAGCGGTTTTCCGGCCCTGAAGATCGTCTTCGGGGCGTCCCAAAGGACCCCAGGGGAGCTCCAAGAGGGGTCAGGATCCGGGAAGAATAAATGAAATACCCCAAGATGGCCCAAAAACAGTGCCCATGATTCCGCAAAATAGTTCCAAGATGATGCCAGGCATCCCCAAGAAAGTCACCTTCTTCCAAAGATGTCCTCCTAGAATGCCAGAAGGCCGCCAGAGGCGCTTAAGACAGCCCCGAGCGGCCCCAAGATGCCCCCAAGAGGCCCCACAAGGCTACAAAACTACCCTCGCGAGCACGCAGGCAATTGCCAACGATGCAAAACAGATGGGCCGGCGGAATGGGGAAGCGATTGAAAAACAGAAGAACATTGGACCCCCCTCTTGCCCTCAGGGACCAAAATGATTACCCTCCTCTTCATCCACCGAGCCTCCCGAAGTCTCCACGCTTCCAAAACCGTGGGGCGGCGGTGTCTGCCCCGTCAGGGGCGCTCAACTGACTAACAGAAGAACATACCTATCTTCAAGACGGCCGTCAAGCGCCCAAAGAGAGATCCACGACTGCCCAGCAAGTCCCCCAAGAAAGCCTCCGAAGGCCAAAAAGTCCCTCAGAGGCCCCAGAAGCCTCCAAGAGGCCCCGCCCCAAAGAGGCCACAGGAGGCATCCAAGAGGCCCCAAAAAAGCTCCCAGGAAGCCCCCAGGAACAAGAGCGCCTCAAGAGGCATCCTTTTCCTTCATTCCGATTCCTTATAAACAACTTCTCCGTGTCGTACCCCGACGCCAATCGGAAGGGCGGGCCAGGCGTTTCGCCTGAATTTCCCTTTCGGTATCTGATCCTGAAGCTTAGAAACAGGCAACAGTTTCAAAAGTGGAGGTGGGTGGCTTTAAATGTGGCTCTCGTCTAAGCACCGCGAACCTTCGTCTTACAAGTTTGCAAAAGCTTCACGGATGAAGAGCGGATCCTTTTCAAATGTGGCTCTCTCGCCCCAGCGCCGCGCACATTCGTCTTAAAACTTTGTACAAATTGAACGGATGGAGGGCGAGTCGGTTTCAACATGTGGCTCTCGCCTTAGCGCCCCACGCACTCGCAACAAAAAAAATCATGGATTGAGAGCGGGCGTTCTTCAAAATGTGGCTATCACCCGAGCGCCGCGTACACTCGATGCGAAAAAATCCGGGAAGCTCACGGATGGAGTGCGGTCCCTTGTCAAAATGTGGCGCATGAGTTAAGTTCTGGCACGAAGCCAATTCGTCAAGACGCAACATTAAAGTTGATTCCTGGCATTGACATCCTGGGAATGGTATGTTGGCACGCTTCGAGATTTTCAAACGGTTGGCTCCCAACGGGGCACTTGCCCCAGTGGAAATTAATCCTTGTGGGGGCCTACGAGGAGGGAGCTCAAAGGCAGAGCTTATTCCAACATCGTTGGTGAATTCCCTCACTTCCTGATGGCCCTCCAGGTTTGCACTGGCCCTCCTGATTCCCTCACTTCCTGATGGCATGAGGGTGCTCCGCACACTGCCGATACTGGTCCTCCACATGCTCCTCCTCCTCCTACTCCTCCTCCTCCTCCTCCTCCTCCTCCTCCTCCTCCTCCTCCTCCTCCTGCTCCTCCTCCCTTCCATTAAACTCCTCCCTGTCGCACCCTGAGGCGTGTCGGTAGGGCGGGCTGGGCATTTCGCCAGAAGCTTCCTCACCGCCTATGGCTCAGAGGCGCAAGCTCAGCCACGGGCGCACGGGTAGCAGGCAGCTCCTTCTCTCAAGAGGTGGCTCTCGCCTTGGCGCCGCGCCCGCTCGTGATCTTTTGATAACACCGATCTGTGTATCTGTATATATATGGCAAAATCCAATGTAGGAATTCCAGTGGTTCCTCACTCTCGCGGAGTATTCATACCATTGTCCTTCTGATACCGCCAGCTGTCTGTGACGAAGCAGGTCCCAGTACATACACTCGCTGGGGGGCTAGATCTGACGAAGCAAGCCCCGGTACATACACGTGCCGAGGGGGGCTAGATCTGACGAAGCAAGCCCCGGTACATACGCATGTGCTGCACCTCTGCCGATCTAGAATACACAAGCAAATCCCGCATCACGTGTACATGCACCACGGATGCACATGCTTCTGCTATGCGCTGCCCCTTGGCCCTGTACAGGTGCAAGCTGGACTTTTCGATCCCCTTTAGAAAGTCCACGCCCCCTCGCACTCTGGAGATTCAAGAAAATCCAAAACGTACCGACCAAGGACTCTTCAAATGGCAGCACATTCTGCAATTCGCACACAGAAGCCCAGGAGGAGGCGGAGGAAGAGGAGGAGGGCGAGTAGAGGAGAGGAGAGGAACGAAACCAAGAACAAAAAAGAGGCAACCTGGCCGCGGTGCGTGCCAGCATCGTTCTGCCGAGCGCCAGGTATAATATGGCGAGCAGGCCCCTGGGGAAGAGCGTCACCCTAACATGGAATCGAACATAGAACTGCAGCAGTGCGCATGCAAAGGAAGAGGCGGGAGAGGAGGAGAGGGGCGGGAGAAGGAGGGGAGGGAAGGAGGGGGGAAATGAGCGCCCGGCAGACTGGGAACACGACGTCAGCCGACCTGCAATGGGCAAGCGTCCGCCGCGAACCGTGGCCTTGGAGACAGTTGGGAAAAGCAGGGGGGGACGAGGCAGGAGGAACGGAGGGGAAGAGACTAAAAGAACACACGTATACAGCAACGCGGGGCTGCCGTCAGTCGATGTGCAAAGTCGATTCGCTCAGCGAGTTCTTCGCGCCAAGGTCGCCACGCCCTTCCCGCAAGCACTGGACGAAAGCGCCCGGGATCTCGGACGCCGCGAAGAGATGGTGCCGCCTGCCGTTGTGAACCCGGTGCAAAGCGCACACCGCAAGCGCCCAGACGATCGTGGAGGCCTCCGTCCGGGATGGCCCCTCGATGCCCAAGAAATTGTCCATCGCGAGCGGGCCAGGTGCCAACTCAACGCCCGTTTTCTGGCGGAAGAGGCCGCGAACCGTGGGGCAGTAGGCGAAGTGCGCGATGCCCCCCCCCCCCCCCCCGCGCCGCACGCGAACTCGCACGGGCGGGCGCACCCGAACCGGGTACTCGTGCACCAGCCGTTGCAAAATAGGTGGAGCACAGCTGGCCTGACACGTGGAAGACAACGGGCACCCACCAGCCGCAGAACGCGCAAAGCGGGCTCCATCCGGCGGCCGGGCAGAAGGTCGAGAGACCAATGGTCTAGCCTCTGCCGCAGGTGCACGAGCGCGTGTGCACGG